GTTTTTTTTTCCTTTTTTTTTTTTTTTTGTGAATGTGGGCGATTTTATGAATGGAGCTGGTTTTGTGTGAATGGAGCCATGAGTGCGGGGGCGGGGGCTGAATCTTTTCGCGGCGTTCTGCACGGGGAAGGGGGTGGTATATCTGAAGGCGTTTAATGAATGGAGTGTGTCCCTTGTTATTGTGAAGGAGGCCCTGCGCTAGGGTTCTAGTTACGCTATACCTGCTCTGGTTGTTTGCTCTGCCATTCATAAAACTTAGGCCAGATTCGCGCGCGGCGCGGGGGAGGAGATGGTAACAGTATTGTTTGGCTGTGTGAAAGGTTTTTCACAGAGGAGTCAAGAGAGAAGGAAAACGGCGGCTAAAATGCAAAATGCGAAGCAGTGAATATGCTATTTTATCTTTTAGTTATTGCTTTAAATGTCAAACGTTTTACTTAAAATCGACGAGGTAATTTAGAAATTTGGGGTTATCTCTAGAATTCGTAGGGGGCAATTTCTGTATTTTCTTGCTGACATTTAGGAACAATCTGCAGCAGTTGATCTGCCAGGATAGAGACGTGGCTACTTAAAGCCTTGAAAGTTGCATCAACAGAACAAGAGCTGAGTTATTTAGTGCCCTCTCTCGTGTCATAGAGATTTCTGTTACAGGGTGTGTTTAAGCAATAAATTATCTGAGATTTCTTGGTACTGTTTTGCTAAAACAAGAATACATAAAAGGGTGTCATTCCTGAATTTATTTTGTGGGAAGTAAATAAAGTTGAATGGGAAGAAACTTGTTAGTTCATGGTCAGGTTCCAAACAGTTGCTTTCTCTGTTATCTAGAACAGTTACACATAGGTATCTTTCATCTGAAAGCTGAGCTCTTATACAGCAGAATTGATTTCCTTTGCACTTGTTGCTATTTATATTCTAGCTCTGGACCATGTAGAAAGGAAAATGAACTTGAAATCCTATGACCCTTTGGTTTGTAATACATCCCTTTGTAGTTGGAATTTGCTTTTTGTGGTGTCATAATTGTTTCCATAGCAAGCCTGTGACATCACCAATGAAGTTGGGACCTTTGGTCTGTTGGTTTACAAAGAAAAATAAGATGATGGTAAATATATGAACAAATATAATAAAAACTAGCTTAGCTGAACTGAAGAAAAATACTGTAACAGGGAGTACAACAGTTAATCCTTAAAACTTTCAAATTATACTCAAATGCTGTTAGATGAAGTCTGTTAAGATGGTCTAAAGGTTGTTGTTGTTTTTTTAATTCTCTCTCTTCTCTCCAGTCTTAAATCTGCCAGAGCTAGATTGTGAACCCTTCTTATCCTGGAATTGCTCAATGCTAAAACCATTCAAAGGAATATTTAAGAATCTGCAAACACAATGGATGGCTTTTATGACCAGCAAGTCCCTTTCATGGTTCCTGGGGTATGTCTCGTATGGTTATATATATTTATAGAACTCAGTTTTCTTCGGGCATGACATTTCTCTACCACCACCTCCTCCCTGTTTTTGTGCCGTGTTTTATTTATTTATTTGTTATTTGACTATTTGCCCTCTGTAGCTATATTTCTTTGCTTTTACCAGAAACTTTGCACAGATGAATGTCGTGGAAGGCCAGTGAATGAGAGAAAAAGGAAATTTCAAGACACTGATCTGGCTCATGATTCTGAAGGTAGAATCACTACCATTCTTAATAACACACACAAACATTTTTCCTAACTTTTTAGTAGCCTTTCTTATTTTCTTTCAGAATTGTTTCAAGATCTCAGTCAGCTTCAGGAGGCTTGGTTAGCTGAAGGTAAATCCCCATTGATATAACTTTCTACATCTTTATTGTTCTTTGTCAGCTCTTGCTTATAGTTAGCTGTTGGACTTGTTGCCATGGTGTGGCCTTTTCTATGCCTATTTGTAATGCATGCAAATGTATGGTCTTTAATATTGATCTCAGTTTTAACTTCTAAAATACTTGGAGTTGGTCTGTTTACTTAACAGATACCCAGTTTCTTTGTAAACAGGAAACTAAATAGCGTGTCATTTTTTCATTTTTGTAGCCCAAGTTCCTGATGATGAACAGTTTGTACCAGATTTCCAGTCTGATAACTGTAAGTCACATTCTTGCTCTTTGATTTACTTGTCCTGAAGACTACAAAACATTACAAAATACGTGATTTGTTCCCTTGGTCTTTGTGTTTGTGTATCGCCTTTACTAACAGAATGCAATTCCGGTGTGCGCATGTGCACGGGGTTTGCGGAGCCTTGTCACTTGGAAGGGATGGGAATAAATAGAAAGGTATGGTGCTGGAGGCTCTGTTAATGGCATTGCTTTCACTGAAGAACGTGGGAATATTTGTGTGAGAACTCTGAGGCTGTGCCTTAACCTTGATTTCTGCAGAACCCTTTCAAACCCCCATGAATACTTCATAATGTAAAAGATATTAAAATCCATTTGCCAGTGAGCACAAGAGCACTCTCACCAGCCCTGTGCCTCTAATTCCCTCAGTGACTTTCCTGGCTATTATAGCCATAGCTCATGAAGGACAAAGCTTTGCTGGTGAAACTTGAGCAGCTTTAGGAAGTATTAGTCATTGGCAAGCAGCAACTCTGTGAAGGCAGCTACCAGAGTCCTCCCGCTGCATCACCAAGAGATTTCTTCCTTGCCTGCAGGGTTTAATAATCAATTCCTGGGCCTGTTTTTACCCCTAATACAAGCATGTTTCCTGCATAGTTTTCAGCTGTGGTCTTGACGTACTGCAAGAAATGATGTTCTTAAACTTAAGATGAAAACATTACTCAGACAGTATTCATTTGGGGCAGGGGGCTTCTTTTATTTTTTATTTTTTAAATTGCTTAGCTGTTCTGGTTGCCAACAGTATTTGAAGGCAAGAAAACATAGCCTGCAGAGGAACGGATTCTTGATTTCAGCTCTGTCACAGCATGCAGTAGTTATCTTGTGCTACAGTAAATGCATGTTAATTATTGTCTTTTGATTACTTTGAAGTGAATGGGAAAGTTGCCATGAGAGCTTCTCCAGACAGGCAACATGTTTGCTAGGGTTTGCTCGTGTGTGTGTTTGTGTGTGTGTATGTGTGAAAGAGTGTGTGTGTGTGTGTCCCTTCCCTTCCATCCTTTTGCAATGAAAGGGAGCCTGGAGTCAGAATTTTTCTCCCTGTGTTGACATTCTAGCCCAGCCCTTCCAGTTCTTGCTGGGAGCAGTAGAAACTGAAGTTAGGCTGTGTGGGAGGATGTGTTGCTGGCAGAGATGTGCTCAGATACCTCTCGGCAGGCTTTGCCAGCCCGGAACCTGAAGGATCGTATGAAAAACCAAATGTCTTCTCCTAAATGATTGGTCTCCCCAGTAAACCTAGCTTTCTTGGGTTGGGGAAGCCAAGAATATACTAATGGTGATCACCATCCATGACAACCAAGTTAATGGCAGGAACAATTTCCATTGGAAGCAGCTTTACATATGAATGAATGGCTTTTTGCCTGGAATAGTAATTTGTCTGGTAATGCAGTGATAAATCCTTCTGGGTTTGGATTTTTTTTATATTATCTCTAATTAAATTGTTCAAAAATCTATGCTCTACAATAGGGGTACCCAAGCTTTTGAGGATCACAGCCTAAAAGTAGCTGATGGAGCAGAGCAAAAATTTGAGTTAACTTATTTTGTGTTAAATTTAATTAAAATTAAATATAATTAATATGGCTACTCTCCAGGCATTAATTTCATAATTTTCTCCTTCAATCACATTAAAAGTTCAATTCAGTAATGCCTTTTGGAGATCTCTAGGGGCTGTGACAGAGGTTTCCAGGGGGCACATGATGCCCTGGAATGTCAAGCTAAGCACCTCCAGGTTCCAACTGGTCAGCAGTCTAAATTAAACATTTATTTAAAATACAGTTCTATTAAAATTCACTACCAGATGCAATAGTCATTTGAGGAGAGTTGAGTATTACTTTTCTTAGAAAAGTAATCTGGGGAGGAAAATCTACAGGTCAAGGTCCCTCTTGCATTTGTGAAATTCAGTGACAGTAAGGCTTGCTATAAAGGACAGGAATAATGTAGGAAATACATTAAAGGGGGCACCATTTGCACACTGAAAGCATTTTTGGAGCTCTGTTAACATGGCACAGATTTATAGTGTATGATTCATGGTTAAAATTATTACTGTGGATTCTGGCACAAAAATCAACTTGTATGACTGTTGTGTTAATCATAAACATATTTACTTAGAAATAAGTCCCATTTAAACTGGTGGGCTTGATGCCAAGTGAATGTGTATTGTGTTGGAGTTATTAAGGATGCAGTTGATTCTGTCCTTGTTATAAATGTCTGTGTGCTATGTGTGGGATTAGCATGTTTCAAATGTATTTTAAGTTCTGGGGAGATGATGTTGAGGGACTTTTTTTTCCCCTGTTGATGCTTCTGATTATGTAATTGCATGAATTCAAGTTCTTGAATACCTGTTCAGATAGAATTTTTGAAGTATAATTTTTAAGAAAGAAAAGGCACCAGTATGTCTCTCTGCATATCTTCCTCTAGTTTAAGACTAACTGTTAAACAGTAAGAATAGCAACTATAAGTAGTTCCCCCCAATCTAGTGCTTTCCAGATGTCCTAGATACAGCTTAGTTCACAGAAGAAAGCAAGTTGAAATAGGCTGCTATAAGTTAAGGTGCTTGTCTTCTTTTTTCACTTAAAAAAAGTATTTTTGATCTTACTGTCCCAATTTTTTTCGAGTGCTAGCATCTTAATATGCATTTCCTCTTTTTTTGATGAAGAAAGATACAGTTGATAGCATTTGTTGTACTGCTTCCAAATTGTTTCCTCCACGGTAACCATTTGATTTAAGGAAAAAAGTTTATTTTCCTAGGCTAACATTGTAACATAAATGCATAATTAGCACTGTGTTGTGGGACACACCCATTGGATGGTGCTTCTGATATTACTCATGACAAAACTTCTCTCTTTTTTTGCCCCATCTGCACAATTGCACTGCTGGATGACCATTTACAAACTTTTAAAAGAGCGAGCATAACTTTGTACCCCCAGCAGACGTCTTATACTTCATTACTTCATTGGATCCTATGAATGTGAACTGCCCTGGAATACCCCATAGTGGTAAAGGTGAGATGCAAAGACCACTCATGGAGGCTTAAATGCAGGCATTTTAAATAATTTTTAATAAATAAATAAAAATAAAAAAATAAAGCAAAACTGCTGCTTGCCTTCATAGAAATTAAGCAAAGCTCTGAAACTTTTGTGCACCGTTATGGAGAAGCAACACGGGAAGCCATATGTGTCTCTGCCAATAGTTCTAAATTAGGAAGATCTCTCCCCTCCCCACCCCAGAAGAAGAATTATCTGTCTGTTCTTTCTGAATAAGAGCAACAGAACAGATTACCTAAGCACTTTTCCCCTAATTTCCAAATGTTTTTCATTTAGATGTATGAATTGCTTCATTTGGGCCATTGGGAATACTTTGGCTATAGCTCTGTTTTACAGCCTGCAATGTGGGCTTGCTCCAAAATGTGCGCTGGTCATTAAAATTACATTGAAAATTGGCAATTTATTACTGGCCTAGGTCAGAAGAACTGTTTAGTTCTGCTTCTGCTGGACTGTTCTGTTTGGCATTAAAGGTAAAGAAATGCATTTCTTCTCCCCCATCAGGAAGTGGGGTACATTTATTTGTGTTACAGTTTACTTTAAATGAAGTTGTTTTAAGGTTGCCTTGCCTTTGATGCCCTAATTTTCTATATGTAGGAGTTTTTCAGTAAGGGGAGGGGGGAGTTAGCATGTGACCTCGTAATATGGTGTAGTCTAGTTGCGTCACACGATTCAGCTAGTTATTTGTTTTGGCTCATTTGATTTATGTAGGAAAAGTCAAATGAGAAGAGGCAAGTCTTTGCAATTCTTTCTAACTGTACTGAGCAACTTCCTGCTAAAGGCAGCTTACGGGTGACTCTACTGTGGCATCAGAGAATAGGGCAGAGCTACACCGGCACAAAGCACTATATGTACAACACACCTGGTGCTGTTTCAGCATTATTGGCTCGCTTTGCTACCTGTGCACAGTAGGCAAGATAAAAACCCAGGACGCCACTCACTCAAATAATCTTACATTCCTGACTTTCTCCCTGCTTCGACGTGTTGAGACACATCCTGTAGCTGTACCGCTCACTTGTCTTTTCAGGTTCTAATTATAGTGGGGATATTAGAACATATACTTTCTCAGTAGGTGTATGCAGACATACAAAGGCATGTGTGTGTGTGTGTTAACAGTATAATTTCAAGGCACTACAGAACTCTTTTCATTGGGTGTTGGCATGGGATGCAGACGCAATACTGCATGCTTCAAGATGCACTTTCCTGCCATTTGTAATTCTTTTTATCTAGCGGGGCTCTAAACATTGCAGATTGCAGTAATGGATTAAGTTTCAGTGTTTCCTAGGAGTATCTAAGAAAAAACATAATTTCATTTTTTTTCTTCTTAGCTTGTTATTGTAGGCTTTTTAAATATTTTTGGAGTGCCAGATTTAAACTGATCTTCATCTGCTCAGAAGTAACTCCAGGGATGTTTATCTAGCGGGGCTCTAAACATTGCAGATTGCAGTAATGGATTAAGTTTCAGTATTTCCTAGGAGTATCTAAGAAAAAACATAATTTCATTTTTTTTCTTCTTAGCTTGTTATTGTAGGCTTTTTAAATATTTTTGGAGTGCCAGATTTAAACTGATCTTCATCTGCTCAGAAGTAACTCCAGGGATGTACAGATAGTCCTTTACATTCCAAGGTTACATTCCAAAAGGCTGTTTGTAGGTTCATTTTGTTTGTAAGTCCAACCAAGTATAAAGTGCTCAGCCTCCCAACACATGATGGTGCTACCAAGTGTATGCAAACTAACCCTTTCCTGCCTTCTGGGAACTTCTAGGTTGGAGTTGCAGACAGGTTTGTTCATATTGGCAAAAGTTCATAACTCGAAAGTTCATAAATAGAGGACTGTCTGTACAGTATATTATTTTCTGAATCAGGAGCCACAGATCTGAATCAGATGTTCATCTGTCCATGGTTGTTGTCTTCCTGCCCAGCATTGTTCAGCAGAA